AATGAATTTGAACATTTTTTTTTCAAAATATTTTGATGCGGATGCTTTATGCAATGAGCTTTATAAATTGATCCTTGCAATTCTAATGCAGATATACGAGGGGTGTTCCAGAATTACGTGGACTTTTGCTATAACTTTTTTATTTTTTAATGCATTTTTTTAGCAAATTTGTACACAATACCTTTTACATATCCTTAATGAATATGTCCATTATTTTTAAATTTCTAACATTGCTTCTCTATATTTTACGTCGCTATAGTAACGCATTATGCGCAGGGCGGGGCAGTCCAATATTTTGTATTAATAAGTTGTCTTTACTTTCGTATATCTTGCGTATTTATACCTAAAAATGGCGCGACGTCGTAAGAATATGCAGTGACGTCATATGAACGTTCGTTTGAAATTTTGACGTCATAGCTGTTTCCGTTATTGTTTACCAGCGGACATCTGACAACCGTTGCTCTTGGATATTTAACAAAAAAATGACGTCCGCGCTATTACGCGGAACATCGGACTATCATCAAGTTTTGTGTTAATCTTGGAAAGACACCAACACAGACGCAGGAAATGTTGAAGACTGCAAAAGTGAGACCTCCTGTTTGTCGATCACTCGTTTTCAAGTGGCATAAGCGTTTTCGAGACGGCCGGGAGGACATTTCAGACGACAAGGGTCGTGGGAGAAAGTCAACGTTGATTGCGGCGTCAATTAAGGAAGTCAAGGACGTCATAGATCGGGACAGGCGTTACACTGTAAATTTTGTGTTTAAAAAAAAAAATGATTTTTAAAAATTAAGCTTATCACAATTTACTATTTTAAACGCAATTTATCCGCTTCAGCTTTTAAGAAAGTGAACTCAAACTGCTATAGTAAGCAGTGCATGATAGGTTATTTCCCTTGTTAACGCACACTGCCTTTGCGTACAAAATACACAATAATAATAATAATAATAATAATATAATAATAATTAATAATAATAATAATATAATAATAATAATAATAATAATAATAATAATAATAATAATAATAATTAATAATGATAAATAATAATAATAGAATCTAATAATATAATACGGCGTCAGCATTATCACCGTCGTCTTTAACACTATTATCGTAACAAAAAGTTAATAGTATGCTTTTATTATTATTATTATTATTATTATTATATTATTATCAGTGGTGGCTGATTTCGACCAGGAGTGGTACAGGGCGGTGTACGACCAGTGGATATATCGACACCATAGGTGTATTGAGTTAGGCGGCGACTATGTTTGAGGAAAACTGACATTCGACGCCACGCATTTATTAACATATAGCGACGCCACCGGAATGACGTCGTAACGTCGGAAATGGACTGTCCCGCACCCGCTACCCCTTGTCTCATTACCCTGCCCACAGACACTGATCCAGTTGCCGGGCAACTTTGAAATTTTTTTGTACTAATGCAATAAAGTTGCATTTTGTTCATGTTAAGATTGTTTTTACTTTCAGTAGTTTTTGAGTTACAGCAAAAGTCCATGTAATTCTGGGACACCCCTCGTATATAAAAAAACTGCAACTGGTGACTTTCCTTACGTAATTTCTATTGTTCCTTATTCGGAGTTGAATAAGAAATAAGGAACTGGTCCCCTTCTGCAGGTTTATAAAAAATATCTGCAGCTGTTGTCTTTCTTCACGTATTTTCATCTGTTCCTTATTCAGAGTCGAATAAGGAATACGGAACTGGTTCCTTATTCCTTATTCGATTTTGACATTTCTTTCAATATATTTTCATGCAGGTGCTTAAGGAAATTATTATAATGATTTATCCTTGCAATTCTGATGCAGATTTATAAAAAATAACACTGCAACTGGTGTCTTTCTTTATTTATTTTCTTCTGTTCCTTATTTGATGTCGAATGAACATTTCTTTCAAAATATTTTAAGCTGGTGCTTAATCCAATGATTTTTATGATTGATTCTTGCAATTCTAATGCAGGTTTATGAAAAATAACCGCAACTAATGTCTTTCTTTACGTATTTTCTTTTGTTCCTTATTCGGAATCGAATAAGGAATAAGGAACTGTTCCCTATTCCTTATTCGACTGTAACATTTTTTTCAAACAATTTTATGCAGATGCTTTATTTAATGATTTTAATGATTGATCCTTGCAATTATAATGCAGATATTTTAGAAATAGCTGCAACTGCTGTCTCTTTTTGCGTATCTTCTTCTGTTCCTTATTCGATATTTAAAGGGTTCTTTATTCCTTATACGACTTTAACATATTTTCAAAATATTTTTATGCAGATGCTTTTGCAAATGATTTAAAGAGGTATTAGGAACGGTTTCCTTATTCCTTGTTCGACTTGAATATAGTTTACAAATTTGTCGATGCAGATGCTTTATTTAATGATTTTGATGATTGATTTATGCAATTTTCAAGCAAATTTATGAAAGAAATAACCGTTCTAGTTTGCTGATCAACCATAATTTTATTTTATGTAAATACTCATTCAGCTGTTCCATATTTAGATTTGAATAAGGAATGAGGAACTAGTTACCTAATCCTTATTCGAAAAAGGAATAAAGAACTGATTCCTTATACCTTATTCGAAAAAGGAATAAGGAATAGGGAAATAACTTTATATACATCCCCGACAAACGTATTGGCGAGGCTGTCATCGATGATACGATTGAAAACAAAGAGATGTCTTATTTGCACTTTCCTCATACAATTCAGAGGGGGTTAACTATTTCGCTTAAACAGAGTTTGCGCACGTCTGCCTCGTTTCTGAAAATCTTAAAACACAAATGACAGAAGATAAACTCTGGTAAAACTTGACGATTGAAAATAACGATGTTTGACCCAATAAAGGACTTAATTATAAATAATTAAGAATATAAAAATATATTTATCTGACAGTAATTTTAAAGTATCATTAATTCATTCAACTCTTTATAGATACCTGATATTATTTATACTAGAAGTGTGAAGAATTTCAACCTGAAGAAACATGTACTCAGACTTAAGAAAAGCAAGCATATTCACAATTCAAAAAGTTGTGTACATGTTATGTGCAATTACTGACTGATTTTGTATATATCACCATGTTCCTACTGGGAGACTATCGCAGTAAAGGCTATATTTGCATATTCAGACCTACTTTTGGTAATGTTCGTAGATTTGTAAGTGCTGTTTGTAGTGTGTAAATATACTTTCTTTGCTCACTTGACAATATTTTTACTTTTTGATTTTTCATAAAGAATACAGAATCGGAGGAGCCGCTTTATCCAAAATTTTAAACAAAATTGGGCCCGGGGGGATTGAGTATCAAACTTTGGGAAAGCCAAAAAATTTTAAATGGGCCAGGCCCCAAAATTAGCATATTTTAGTTCGAGAACCGTAAAAAACATCTCCAAAATTTTTCAGGTTTTTTGCATGCTAAGAATTCGGCGGGGCTTTTAAAGGTTTTAATGACAACGTTAAAAAAAGTAAACTTTTGCATCAAATGGTCTCATCAGTTCAATCTGAAAGCAACTTATATTACACCACCCACCTAAAATAATGCTGAAAATTAATGAACATGCCCAATTTCCATACTTCAGAATCTGCCTAATGTCTTAAATGATGACATTTTCTTATAGAATAATTCTACAGAAAAAAACTTTGAAAATGCTTAACTTAGTGTTAGTCATATGTTAAATTTTTATTTTTGCAAAGTTTCTTACTAGTTTTGTAGCTGATGACAATCTGAAATTTACAAATATTCAACGTCCTTTTGAAGAGTCACAAATACATACAAAGCTACCGGAAGTTCAGTTTCGCATTCATGGATAGAAATTTTGCTCATTTTCTGCATACAAATTACAAAGAGAAATTTCCTCTATGTATCAACTGACGAAGCTAATCAAGTGAAACATGTATCGATATCTAAATTTGTGTTGATTTTGATCTATTTGTCCTAAAGAGAAATTGTAACAATTTTCAACACCTTCAGAACACCATGTCTGTATTATTAACAAATTTCACCTTGGCCAAAGTGCGAATATGTCCCCTGTCCCAAGTCTTCAGGGTCAAAATCTATTACAAATTAGGAAAACATATTGTTATAATATTATAAATATAAAAAGGAAATATCCGTTTTCGTATACTAATATGTTATTTGAAATCAAACACGTTAAAGGAAAACTACAATGTTGTTTTATTGTAAAGTATTTAGCGACAATTCGTTTGTTGTACATCATTATTTTGCATTGATATTATAATAACGCTGCGCAATTATCGCCTGTTATAGGATACAACAACATATGTATATGTCGAATCATGTTGATGACGAATCATTTATATGACGAATTAAATTGCAAAAATGCTTGTTGCACATTGTGCATTCCTAAGTATATTTCATGAATTCACAAATGTCTTTAAATGACATTTAAAGACAATATAAATGTATTTAAAGTAGTAACATGCGTTAATAATGATTCGTTTTATGGATCATACATTAGCGATAAGAATTATAAAATCTCGCTCTAACAAATGTATGAGACATTCAATTAAATCGTACAAATATATATGACTAATGAACCTAAAATGTCAAAATACTACAATAAAAATGATGTTTGAAATATTTCTAAAATTTAATTTTATATCAAATTTAAAGTTTTCTATAAAAAAGTCAAATGTTTGTGTTACGAGTTTAATACTACGAATACAATTTATTCTATCTTAACTTTAAACAAAATAGATAAAAAGAGGATTTAAAATACCGCCAAAACATTGCAGTATTGAACTGCTGAAGTATCTGTTGGCCTGAGTTGATTTTTTCCACGGGTGGCAGTAGCTCATTCAAATAACCGTGCATTGCCTTGAGACATCGTCTTATGTAAATCATAACTTGGTACACAGACCAAAATGTTACAATTACAGCTTATATTTTCATATTTCAATTCAAATTAATTTTTGTTTATCTAAAAATAAGATTATTTAACTATTGTTTAAGTATTTTATTCAAATTGAAGGTTTAAAGAGCACAGATGGTCGTCACAAACGTGAGACGGGTAAGTTTACTTATTATCTATTCAAACTTGATAATGTTGTTTTATTTCTGTGTTGTTAAAGATCCTGTAACTCATTTGTTTATAGTTTTATATCATAAATATGATGCTCAAATAACGATTTATCAGTATTGTAAGTTCCAAAAAGCATTTTTGGTAAGACATTACGAATTTACATTTCATGTAAATTAGAAATTTATTTTTTGATAAAGTCTAAACCCAATTTTTCATTATAAAATGAATGCATATACTTTAATGATTACTTATAATGGAAAAGCTTTTGCAGTACATACTCAAAATATTCTTAGATGTTTGGAGAATAATTATGTACATACATAAAATAATTACACTTATGTTGTTACACGTACATCCTTAATGACAACATGCAGAGTCACTGGAAACTGTTAATAAGCGATGTATTTACAGTAAATTTAGCTGGGAAATCCTATCAATTTAACCAAATCAACGAATGGACGGACCGTGGCGATTACAAGACTGTACAATATTTTTCATTCGTAAAATAGGTACAGACAAAAGTAAACTATGTAGATAAATTCATCAAACGACGGTGGATAGAATGGCAAAACTTCAAAACATTAAAACATTAATTCGATAAAAAAAGAAAGGGGAAGAAGTAGGAAACAAAAAACTAAAAGTGTAAAAAGTATAAATTTTATATGTGTATATAACGAATGACAAAGTAATATATGAATATACCTTACTTGTTTTAGAGTAAGTGAGATTCTTTTTTTCTGTTAGGTCCGTGCAATCCAAACCCGTGCCAAAATGGCGGTACATGCACGGTTGATGGTACAGATTACACGTGCAACTGTACAAGACATTTTGTAGGAAGAGATTGTGAAAGTAAGTAGTTTGTATCATTGAGCAAAAACTTTTTTTTTTAATAAAATTGTATGTTTTGGATACTTTATGCCCAAATTAAAATAAACGACAACAACAACAAAAATAACAAAAACTCAAAATCAAATCCTAAACTTAACAAAGTTAACAAGGTTCTTCTGTAACATACAAAAAAAAAAAGAAACTGGAAAAATGCTGATCCCTCGGAAGCATTATTAAACAATAAAATAACATGAAAATTTCAGGGGCCAGACCTTGTTTGTTTTGGAAACATGAGGGAGTAATGGTGAAAAAATGCAAAATCCTTTATGTCTCTAGCAACACAATGAGCAGTACTCAATTTTTAAAGCGGTACTCAATTTTTAGAGCGGTACTGAGTTTTTTAAAGCGGTACTCAAATTTAGTATTAATTTATAACTTATTCTCAGGTAAACTTGGAGGATGAGTATTGTCAGTCTATAGCACTATGAATGACATTTCTTAATATGTTATTTCAACTTGATAACTTCTGATAATAATGATAATAATCTTTGATAATGTTTAAACATTTTTTTTCTAATATGGATTATCGAAATGACCTTTTGTTAAAATGTTCTAATAATACATATGAGGGTAACACATCAATATGTGAAAGGTATAGGTAAGACATTATATGGCGAGTAGTCCGATTTCGGACTTGTAGTAAGCCTCAGCAATTATATATTTTGTTATTTCTCAAAACCCTTTTTGTCCTGTATCAGCTTTGATTTCGAAATATTTCTCTTTGGTCATGAAGCAAAACTATCCTTTCCTTCTTTTATATATTGATCTCACGGATAGTTATAGTGATTTGGTGTAATGTATGGCAGTCAAAGTATAAAGCCATTTACATTTGGCTACTTTTAGGACAACTAATGTCACATTTAGCGTGACTTTCTTCAGCATCATAAGCATCAAATATGTTCTTAATACACTACATGGATAAAACTAAATGTTCCCTTTACTAACATGTACATTTATATTTTACCAATAGTCTATCATATATTCTACCAATAGACTACTAGTATCATATATTTTACCAATAGTCTATCATGTATTCTACCAATAGTCTATCATATATTAGTCTTATCACATATTCTACCAATAATCTATCATATATTCTTCCAATAGTCTATCATATATTCTTCCAATAGTCTATCATATATTTTACCAATAGTCTATCATATATTTTACCAATAGTCTATCATGTGTTTTACCAATAGTCTATCATGTGTTTTACCAATAGTCTATGATGTATTTTACCAATAGTCTATCATGTATTTTACCAAAAGTGTATCATACAGTTTAACAATAGTCTATCATATATTTTACCAATAGTCTATCAAATAATTTACGAATAGTTTATCATATATTTTACCAATAGTCTATCAAATATTTTGCTTAAATGGCGGTTCATGCACGGTTGATGGTAAAGATTACACATGGAATTGTACAAGTCAGTTCGGAGGAATAAATTGTGAAAGTAAGTAATTTGTATCATTGAGCAAAAATTTGTTTTATAAAATTGTATGTTTTTGATACTTTATGCCAAAATGAAAATAAACGACAACAACAACTACAAAAATAACAAAAACATAAAATCAAATCGTAAACCAAACAAAGTAAACAAGGTTCTTCTGTAGCATACAAAAAAAAGACTGATCCCTCGGAAGCATTATTAAACAATAAAGTAACATGAAAATTACAGGGGCCATAACTTGTTTGTTTTTGGGAACATGAGGGAGTAATGATGAAAAAAAGCAAAATCCTTTATGTCCTCTAGCAACACAATGAGGAGTGATCAATTTTTAAAGCGGTACTCAAATCTAATTTTAGAGCGATACTCAGTTTTTTAAAGCGGTACTCAAATTTAGTATTAATTTATAACTTGTTCCAAGGTAAACTAGGAGGATGAGAACTGACAGTCTATTACACTATGAATGACATTTCTCAATATGTTATTTCAACTTGATAATTCCTGATAATAATGATAAAAAGTCAAATGTTTGTGTTACGAGTGTAATACTACGAATACAATTTATTCTATCTTAACTTTAAACAAAATAGATAAAAAGAGGATTTTAAAGACCGCCAACACATTGCAGTATTGAAATGCTGAAGTATCTGTTGACCTGAGTTGATTTTTTCCATGGATGGCAGTAGCTCATTCAAATAACTGTGCATTGCATTGAGACCTCGTCTTATGTAAATTATAACTTGGTACACAGCCTGCTTCAAAATGTTACAATAACAGCTTATATTTTAATATTTCAATTCAAATTAAATTTTGTTTATCTAAAAATAAGATTATTTAACTATTGTTTAAGTATTTTATTCAAGCTGAAGGTTTAAAGAGCACAGATGGTCGTCACAAACGTGAGACGGGTAAGTTTACTTACTATCTATTTAAACTTGATATTCTTGTTTTATTTCTGTGTTGTTAAAGATCCTGTAACTCATTTTTTTAAAGACGGTACACGTCATTCTTGTGGTATACTAGTATATGTTTCAGACCAATTAATCTCGAAACGAAAATTTGAATTAGAGTACTATTTACAAGAATCACTTTGGATTAAATTAAGAAATAAGCACACTAAGCAACTTATTTGTACTGTTTATAGACAACCAAATGCCCCCGTCGAATTTTGGAATAAAATGAATATTTGCTTAGAAAAAGCCCTTGAACAATGAAGCCGAATAATTTAAGTTTAGGATGTAAATGAAGATCAGTTGAACCTTAATAATCACAAGTTTAAAGATGTTTTAATATTAAACGACCTTAAGAATATAATTAGAGAACCGACTCGAGTAAATGCAAACTCCTCAACATTAATTGACACAATAGCAATCAGTAATATTATGCATGTTTACGATTCTGGAATAATTCCCACACCGCGCGATATCAGTGACCATTTTGGAACCAACCTGTTTACCAAATATATAAAAGAATCATGTAAAACATATAAAAGACTTGTATGGAATTATAATAGAGGAAATTTTCAGGAACTTAATAATCTCATACAAAATAATGATTGGTCATTTCTTAATTTAAACTCAGTACATGAAGCCACCGAATCGTTTTTTTTTCTAGTATTCTTAGATTAGCCGATAATTGCATTCCAACACGAATTGTAACTATTAGACCTAAGGACAAACCGTGGTATGACTCAGTAATTCGTAGAACTCCCAGACAACGTGATTACTCAAAGAAAAAAGCAGTGAGAACTAATTCGATTTTTGATTGGAACACTTTCAAACATTTAAGAAACAAAGTTAATAATTTTAAAAAAAACATGCTAAAGAACAATTTTTTTTAATAATCTTGAGTATTCGTTGGAGGAGGCAAGTGTAAATGATCCAAAACTTTATTGGAAAACAGTTAAGTTATTAATTAAAGAAAATTCAAATGCATTTAATTCAATACCAACCTTATTAGTAGATGAAAATGGTAATGAACAACACTATAAAACTGATGCCGAAAACGAAAATTGCTTAAACGAATATTTCATTTTAGTGTCGCATATTGATACAACTTCCACTCAACTTCCGGTATTTGTTCAAAAATCAAACAACAATATTGAAAATTTTACAATTACTTAAAAAATTACCCAAACAAAGCGGTTGGGCCGGATGATATAAGTAATAAAATTTTAAAAGAAACAAAACTAACTATTTGTAAGCCATTATGTGTTTTATTTAATAGATCTTTTCGAGAAGGTGTTTATCCTAATACATGTATATGGAAATTTGCAAAAGTTATGCCCCTTTTTTAAAAAAGGAAATAGAAATACTCCTTCTAATTATCGCCCAATATCATTAATTAGTTGTGTAGGTAAAGTGATGGAGCGAGTAATCTTCAAACATATTTACAACCATCTACATTCAAATAATTTGATATATCCCTTACAGTCAGGTTTTCTCCCCGGACATTCAACTGTTTATCAACTAATAGACATTTATCATCAAATTTGAGAATCTGATGACAAAAAGCTATCAACCTGTATTATCTTTTGTGATATACAGGGTATGGCATCAATGTCTGCTTTTTAAACTAAAACAATATGGTATTAAAGACCAGCTTCTCAGTTGGGTTACTGATTATCTCTCTGAAAGGAAACAATCAGTCTTTATAGGCTCTGAACTATCTTCAATCCTTAACATATCTGCAGGCGTCCCTCAAGGCTCAGCCCTTGGGCCTCTATTGTTTTTGATTTACGTCAATGATATTGCTGAAAACTTACTCTCTATTACTTTTCTTTTTGCAGACGACAGCTCTTTAGCTGTTTCTTCAAACAATACCGACTTCATCGAAACAACTTTAAATCGTGACCTGAATATCATTAATGAATGGTCTTAATCAATGGCTTGTGAGTTTCAATCCCAATAAAACTGAAGTTATGTTTTTCACTTCAAACACAAATCCTAAGCCAATGTTATTCTTTAATAACAATCGTCTTGACTTTGTTGATCATCATAAACAGTTAGGCTTGACAATTTCTCATGATCTCAAATGGCATGAACATATCGAAAAAATAATGTAATCAGCGTCAAAAGTTTTGAGTACAATGCGTGCATTAAAATTCAAACTTAAACGATCCATTCTGAATAAAATATAGATCTCTTACATGCGTCCGATTTTGGAATACGCCTCAGTAGTGTGGGAAGGTTGTACATTAAAAGAAAAGCAGTCACTTGAACAATTGAAATACGAAGCCGCGTGCGTCGTTACTGGGTTAACTAGGTCTGTATCAATAAATTCGTTGATTTTTTATTAAAGAAGTCGGCTGGGTATCTCTTTCAGACAGACGTAAAATTCAAAAGTAAGTCACTTTTACAAAGCAAAAAATGGCCTTGTCCCTTATTATCTTGAAGATCTCTTCCCAAGTACTGTTACTATCCACTTCAAAATAATAACAATTATGCAACTTTAGCTCGTCGTACTGAAACGTATAATAGATCCTTCTTACCTTCTGCAACTGAACTTTGGATTTCACTTGAAACTAGTATTCGTAATACGGAATCACTAAACATATTTAAAACTAGATTGAAATAAATGTTCAAAGCCCCTATTGTACTTAAACATTTTTTGATAGGTGATAGATTATTATCAGTTTTACAAACAATTGCAGTGACCTAAATGGTGACCTAGTCAGAAATCATCTTAGTGAAAATCCCACATGTCATTGTGGAAATGCAGTTGAGAATGCTGAGCATTTCTTCTTTAAGTGCCCGAGTTATCTTACGCAAAGTTATATTTACTGCTGTCCATACATTTATTAAAAATACAAATCGATTCACTTATACCTATACATTAAACCTTTATTTTAATCAGTTATACGTGTACTTAGCATATTATATAAGTAGCAATTACAAAAATCCTGTACCCAATATAAAGTATATGTATAATAACAGCCTTAACGATACCCGTGACATTTATGGGGATGGGTGGGGGCGGGGGCGGGTAGGTGATAGTGAATCCTTGGATTATCCATATTTATAAATTTATAAATTACACGAACGTTGATTTCTATCTGTTCGATTACTTTATTTATGTTGTTAAAAATCGTTTCATCAGCAATTATATATGATATACACTATGTTTTTGTTGTATGCCATTAAGTATTGAATATAGTTCTTTCGTTTCATTATCTACCGGGGAGGGCCGACCGCTAATGTTGTAAGAACTTGGGCCAAACCTGTTTGCTTTTGCTGTTTAGAATACATATGAAATTTGTATCTGTATTGTATATACATGAATATAGCAATAGAATATGATTAAACTAAAAAAAACTCATTTTTTTATAGTTTTATATCATAAATATGATGCTAAAATAATTTATCAATATTGTAAGTTCCAAAAGGCATTTTTTGTAAGATTTTACGAATTTACATTTCATGTCAATTAGAAATTTATTTTTTGATAAAGTCTAAACCAATTTTTTACAATATGAAATGACTGCACATATTTTAATGATTACTTAAAATATAATGGAGAAGCATTTGCAGTACATACTCAAAATATTCTTGGATGTTTGGAAATTGTTTTAGAAGAATAATTATGTACATATAAAAAAATTCACTTAAATGTTGTTACATGTATATCCTTCATAACAACATGCAGGATCTTTAATAACAATGATGATAAACAAAACCTTTTTACTGGAAACTGTTAATAGGCGCTGTATTTACAGTAAATTCAGCTGGGAAATCCTACCAATTTAACTAAATCTACGAATGGACTGTGGGGATTATAAGACTGTACAATATTTTCATTCGTAAAATAGTACAGACAAAAGTAAAGTATGTAGATAAATTCATCAAACGACGGTGGATAGAATGGCAAAACTTTAAAACATTAAAACATTAATTCTATAAAAAAAGAAAGGGGAAGAAGAAGGAAACAAAAAACTAAGAGTGTAAAAAGTATAAATTTTATATGTGTATATAACGAATGACAAAGTAATATATGAATATACCTTACTTGTTTTAGAGAAAGTGAAATTCTTTTTTTCTATTAGGTCCGTGCGATCCAAACCCGTGCCAGAATGGCGGTACATGCACGGTTGATGGTACAGATTACACGTGCAACTGTACAAGTCAGTTCAGAGGAAGAGATTGTGAAAGTAGGTTATTTGTATTATTGAGCAAAAAAAAACTTTTTTTTATAAAATTGTATTTTGTTAATGATACTTTATGCCAAAATTAAAATGAACGACAACAACAACAACAAAAAGAACAAAAAATAAATCAAATCCTAAACCAAACAAAGTTAACAAGGTTCTTATGTAGCATACCAAAAAAAAAACTGGAAAAAGGCTGATCCCTCGGAAGCATTATAAAACAAATTATAAAACAATAAAATATTTTTATAACATGTAAATTACAGGGGCCAGACCTTGTTTGTTTTGGGAACATGAGGGAGTAATGATGAAAAAAAGCAAAATCCTTTATGTCCTCTAGCAACACAATGAGCAGTACTCAATTTTTAAAGCGGTACTCAAATCTAATTTTAGAGCGGTACTCAATTTGTAAAGCGGTACTTTAATTTTTAGTATTAATTCATTATTTTTGAGATAACTAGGAGGATGAGTACGTGCAGTCTATTGCACTATGAACGCCATTTCTCAATATGTTATTTCAACTAGATAATTTCTGATAATAATTATAATAATTTTTGATAATGTTTAATCAATTTTTCTAATATGGAACATCGAATTGACCTTTTGTTAAAATGTTCTAATAATACATTTAAAATGTTCTAATAATACATACGAGGGTAACACATCCATATGTGAAAGGTATAGGTAAGACATTATATGGCGAGTTTTCCGATTTCGGACTTGTAGTAAGCCTCAGCAATTATATATATATATTTTTTTTTATTTCTCGAAACCATTTCTTTTGTTGTTTTCGAGATACTTCTCTTTGGTCATAAATCAAAACTATCCTTTCTTTCTTTTATACATCGATCGCACGGATAGTTATAGTGATTTGGTGTAATGTATGGCAGTCAAAGTATAAAGCCGTTTACATTTGTCTACTTTTATGACAAATATTGTCACATTTAGCGTGACTTTCTTCAGCATCATAAGCATCAAATATGTTCTAAATACACAACATGTATTAAACTAGATAGTCTGTCCTATACTTAATAAATAGACTATCATATAATTTATCAATAATCTTTCATATATTTTACCAATAAACTATCATATATTTTACCAATTGACTATCAAATATTTAACTATAGTCTATCATATATTTTACCAATAGTCTATAATATATTTTACCAAGAGACTATCATATATTTCACCAACTGACTATCAAAAATTTAACTATAGTCTATCATATATTTTACCAATTGTCTATAATATATTTTACCAAGAGACTATCATATATTTTACCAATTGACTATCAAAAATTTAACTATAGTCTATCATATATTTTACCAATAGTCTATAATATATTTTACCAATAGACTATCATATATTTTACCAATTGACTATCATGAATATAACTATAGTCTTTAATATATTTAAACAATAGTCTATTATATTTTACCAGTAGTCTTTCATATTTTTTATCAATAGTCGGTCATCAATTACCAATTTTCTATCATATATTTTACCAATATTCTATCATATTTATATTTTACCAATTGAGTATCATAAATTTAACTATAGTCTGTCATATATTTTACCAATAGACTATTAAGACATTAACCATAGTATATCATATATTTTACCAATAGTCTATCATATATTTTACCAATACTTATCATATATTATACCAATATACTATCATTTATTTTACCAATAGTCTATCATATATATTACCTACACACTAAAAGTATTGAAATAAATTATTCCGAAGATTTAAATTCAGATCATATTTAAACTGCATTTTGTATAATTTGTTTGCAGGTACAGGACAATGTAGTACAGGATGGCATATTTATGGTGACAAATGCTTCATATTCAGCTCCAGCACAAAAACCTGGGAAGCAGCTAATGTAAGACTTATATGCATGTTACTATGAAATTAGGTAATGCGACAAAAGACTAGCATCTATGAATTGGAACTCATCTTGTTTTTTTATATATAAATAGAGGACAATAAATTATGTCGGTTTTACACGAATTTTATTGAATGAAATCAAATAGTACGAACCTCTAGCGAGCATAACATTTTTAACGCTCTAGCTTATACACACTTATACATGTATTTACACAGCCGTGCAACTATTTACGAACAAAACTACTATCAGCGTCAATCTAGTCCGAGATCAAAGTATTTACAATTGCAGCAATGAAGCTGTATGAGTTTAATACAAGTATAATGTTTATCATATACACAACATAAAAACTACCAAAATGATTTTCATTAAAGGACTCCACAAAGGTCCAAAAGCTGAAAACATGAAATTTGATTTCTTACATAGCACAACTGAAGCACTTAAAACAGATAGGTATGCAAAAGATAATTAAGAATTATACTAAAAAATACTTTGAAAATCGTATTTTTGTGACGTTTTGAGACTGATTTGAGCGAAAAGCGTTGCAAAGCTTTTGTATTTTAGGTCATTTTTCGCAATTAAAGAAATTGTTAGGAACAACTGAGAGATCTAATACTAGTAATTTGTTTTTTTTGCAAATATGTTTTTTGGTTTACACCTACATCAAACGGAGCATAAATCTCGAAAAGTTATTTTTTGTCCCGTCATGTCAAACACCTCAGTGGAGTACCTTTAGGGCTCTGGCTGATGCTTTAATTAGTATCACACTTACATATACATCGTGCAATACCGTTTTCACGGAGTCGGAAAAATGGTACTGGTATATAATAAAAAATTCTTATACATAAACAAAACTACATAACTTGAACCTTATTCAATATAGATTATCAGCATACCGTTTTTTTTGTTATTGCAACACTTCTTTGATATTATAAAGCTTTGTTGCAGGTTGCTAGTGGTATGAAATCCGTATACAAAGGCATTTCATATTAATTATATCCAATAATATTGATTAGCTACTTATCTCTTTGTTGCTATAATATATTCGTTACTATAGGACATTTTGATACGACAACACTCATTTCCTTTGCTGCCGTTCAGCCACGATTCAAGCTGCTTCGTACCAACACAAAATACAAATCTTTTTTTTTTCGGCCGGGACTTAAACGTGCATATTGATATGTCATTTAATTTTAAATATGGCATCTTTTATTATACAGACTTCATGTGTGAATGATTACAGTGGATATCTGGCAGAAATCTACAGAGCAAATGAAAATAACTTTCTTGAATATACTGGGAAAAAGAGTAAGTATATTGATCCGGCTACAAAACAAACAAGACCTCAAACATTTTGCTTCACTTATCTGAAAAAATTATTGACAGAGTTGACACGTAAACCAAGTAAATAAGTATTTTATACCTGAGATGAATTCATCTCCTCTTTTGAAATTACTTCAATCTTAATACTAAACAAGTATTCTAAGTTTGAAGGTAAATACCTTTTATACTTGTAAGAAATCAATCACCTTTAACAAATTGCTTAACGACTGCATAAAAATAAGCCATAAAAGGTGCATAGCAAAATGTTATTTTTGAATAATCTACACTTGTGTTATGGCTTCATATTTTAATAATAAGAAAGAATACTAAATTTGCAGGGAATAGGTATTCAATTTTACGAGAAAATTGATTTTATTAAAAATACGTAAACCACCATCAAAGCCGACCCAAGTTCAGGGTCTTCCCGATTATAGCTTTCTTCGAAAAGTGGAGCTTATAAGCAGGACGACAAAGTCATGAATATCGTAGAATTCAGGTGATAATATCAATTATTTTATTTAACATTTATAGTCTAGATGAAATAAAACAAAAAAAAAACATATCAATATTAATATTATCTCATAGGTGTATGTTTGCATTTCTTTTCTTTTAAGTTTCAACATTAACGACAGGTGTTTGGTTTGGACTGAAGTGGCACAATGGCGAGGACACATTCTACTGGGTAACATCCGGCACTTTATATACCGGGTACCGGATTTTCAAATGTTGACTGCTACAAGTTTGACCAAAGTGACGGGTTATGGAGTCAACTTGACTGCTCTACGAGTTCTAACTACATTTGTGAAAAAGGTATGTTTACAACCCGTCACTGGTTTTGCATTGCAAAAACTACTCCAAGTGTATTCTACATAAGTCTCCCAACAGCGCACACACACCACTTTTAAAATAATTGTATTTCTTCCATGAAGCTGATTCATTGAATCAATTTCTTGTAAAATTGTTCAAGACAACATGTATTGCAAAATCACAAAAATCCAAAAATCTTACAATTAAAATGTTATATAAATCAACTGAGGTACTTAAAACGGAAAAGATAATAAAGAAATATACTCAAAACTAAAATGAAATTTATTATTATTGAAAGCGGTTTCAATGCTTTTCATTTTAGTCCGCTTCGCATGATAAAAATTTGGCACATAATATATTGATATAGACCCACATCAAATGGTACAAAAATCTTGAACAAAGTTTGGAAAATAAAAGAAGGGAGATTTTATTTTTTCATATTTTAGAAGCGGCAAACGACCCATGTTTCCCCAATCCTTGCCAAAATGAAGGTACATGCATTGTTAATGGAGCTGATTATACATGTAATTGCCAATCTGGTTTCGAAGGGAAAAGTTGTGAGGGTAAGTTATAATCTGTTGAATACATTACAAGCATGTAATAATCTTGTTTCAGGTATAATGTGATTTAATTGATCTGCCAATTATGAAAATATTACGGCAATCATTTAAATATCCGATTCCACTGGAGAATTTATATTGAATATATAATTTATGTTTCAAAATGTCACATTTGCTCTAGGTATACAGTCATCACATCCGCAATTACATAGTTGGTTAAGTGAATGCCTAAAATGTGAGAGGTCTGAGGTTCAAGTACTACTGTTAATGTTGCTTTTACTTTCTTTATTTTTTGCAATATATTTAATCACCGTAACATGTTTATATAATGAAACAATACCTTACGTTTATTAAAGAGGTACTGGATACTTTAATTAGTGTAACAAGTACTATTATATATAAACTATTCAACAATAAGAAAAAACTTATTCAAAAATGCAAATGTACATATAAATTGCGCGTGTATGACGTTTATGCTAATGTTTATAGCATTATTTGTTTGTGAACAGTTTGTAGCCAAACGAGATACATTTAAGTTAATATTGCCGCAAAGTTCCAATGTATATCTTCTCATATGATCGAATTTTTATAAGTAGCACATCTTTTCAAAACTAGATATCATTTTAAAGGTCGTACAGTTTAAGAAACACCAGTTATTATTTTTTACTTTATCATCAGGCTATGTCAGGCAGGTTGGTCTCACTATGGAAGAAAATGCTACAAATTTAGTTCAAAGACTAAAACTTGGGATGCGGCTAAGGTATGACTATACGTTACATGCTATATTCTGTTAAATTCATCTTTGGTTATCTGTATGTAATTTACAGATTTTTTGTCCAATTTCAGAATCCTATGTAACCATTTGCCTTTTGTTGTTAACATTCACTGTGTTAAACATGATTAATAGCTTTGTCTTTATTCAAATGTTGCTTTATAAAAAATATTTTAACATAACATATAATTTGTATCACACATTTGACCACATTCCATGCATATCCACCTATTCATTGATGGTTTGCAGCTTGCATGTGTAGCAGACGAGAGTGCTTATGTAGCAGAAATAATCAATGCCGAGGAGAATTCACTTCTGCAGACGACCGGTAGCGCAAGTAAGTGTCCGTCTAAAATTTATTTAAACCTAAAATATTTTATAATGTTTGTAACAGTATTTCTTTTTCATTAATCTAAAGCGAAATCTAACTACTTAATATAATTTCCTGATCTTATTTTGAAGGAATTTGTAATATTTTGAATGGAGAACGAAAAGCTATAAACATATTATCTCAACGGTAATTAGAAATGTTTCATCGTACGTATAGATTTCACGCTAGCTCAAACAAAATAAAATTAAAGTGTCGGGAATGGAACCCAATCAAATAGATATGGGAGGAAGTCAAGGACTAACATTAAGCGATTATGTATATATATCCCAAGACAATAATGATATTAATATTAATTTCTTATATCAGCAAGCGTTTAATTTTGAAGTTTGGTAACAGTTTAAATGCCTTAAAGATAATCACATTTGTATGAGACACGTCTTTACATATATCATTTACAAACTTACATATATATAATCTAACAGCACATTTGTATGAGACACGTCTTAACATATATCATTTACAAACTTACATTATATATCGTCTCACAGCACATTTGTATGAGAAACATCCTAACATGTATCATTTACAAACTTGCATTATATATAATCTAACAGCACATTTGTATGATAACCATTCTAACATATATCATTTACAAACTTGCATTATATATAATCTAACAGCACATTTGTATGATAACCATTCAAACATATATCATTTACAAACTTAAATTATATATAATCTAACAGCACATTTGTATGATAACCATTCTAACATATATCATTTACAAACTTGCATTATATATAATCTAACAGCACATTTGTATGATAACCATTCTAACATATATCATTTACAAACTTACATTATATATAATCTAACAGCACATTTGTATGATAACCATTCTAACATATATCATTTACAAACTTACATTATATATAATCTAACAGCACATTTGTATGATAACCATTCTAACATATATCATTTACAAACTTGCATTATATATAATCTAACAGCACATTTGTATGATAACCATTCTAACATATATCATTTACAAACTTACATTATATATAATCTAACAGCACATTTGTATGATAACCATTCTAACATATATCATTTACAAACTTACATTATACATGTATATCATCTAACAGCAGTATGTTCACTTTCTTGCATTTCTTTTCTTTTAAGTTATAACATTAACAACGGGTGTTTGGTTTGGACTGAAGTGGCACAATGGCGAGGACACATTCTACTGGGTAACATCCGGCACTCTATACAACTACAGAAACTGGCTAGGGGGTTGGGCAACCGGATTTTCAAATGTTTACTGCTAAACGTTTGACCAAAGTAACGGGTTATGGAGTCAACTTGACTGCTCTACGAGTTCTAACTACATTTGTGAGAAAGGTCTGTACACACAATATAATTGCTGATAAATATATTAATTATCATGGGAACTGGTACACACAATATGATTGAAGATATATATATATATATATTAATTATCATGGAAACTGATGGATGAGACTTTAAAAAATACAAAATAATCAAGATTGAACAATTGATAACAGTGACCGGTCACAAGTCCTTTTCGAGGTTATCGCATACAACTGATGGTCAATGACAATGTAAACCTTAGCTACAACTGTTATGCATATAATTCATCATATACTTGTTACAATGACATGATTTTCGATCGATACGGAATTATGACCATCTCAAGCATTCATTTGAATTATTGTTAGAATGATCTCTTTTTCATGTTGCAAATATAATAAAGTAGATCATAGACTGCGATGAAAATTCAGACGACACTTTTTTTGGAAACGAATGAAAACTGAAAGTATGAATGAGTGTAGTTGTATCACGTAATTACAGAACTTCCACTGTATCTTGTCAAATGTTTTCGATCACGAAATGAGAAAAAAAGGAAATGTGCAAGATAATCTTATTCATTTTATGTAAACATAATAAAGTGGCGTATCTTTTTCTTTTATAAGCCGCCACGGATGATCCCTGCACAAAAAGCCCTTGCAAGAACGGAGGTACGTGTACAAGTCAATCTGGCAGTTATACATGTACCTGTACAAGCAAATTTGCAGGAACTTATTGTGAGCGTAAGTATTATTATAAGGAATATAGCATTTTATTATCTGATTGACGGACATTGAAGAAATGTTCGGTTACAAATAATACACCATGTTTTGAATGGTTTTTGGATGTAAATTATAAATCAATTTCGAAAATTGATTTGCTACACAATACATAGTCAGACAGATAGAAGAAGACAGAAAGGATGCGGTGCACCTTTGAGTGACTTCTTTGAACTAAAGCTGCCTTTTATTGTACATATCACATATGTATATTTATATCGATATTCTCATGTTATGGATAATCTTTCATTCAGTTTAACTTTGCCTGGTGTGGGCATTTTTATACTTTGTGGTTGCTAAAAATTTTCTCCCGCTGTTATAGCGGAAAACGTCACAAATGTTAGATACATTTAATATGAATTGATATTTTTTCAAGAATTTCATCATGCGGGAAAACAGCAACGGATCGTCATTTAGTGTCATGGAATCGTGTAATTATCTTCAAAAATTGCAAACATTAAAAAATACAATGCTAGTTTTTAATAATCATGTACAAATCTCTGGATACATTTTATGAAAAAACTGATACAAAAGGGCAAATAATTATTAAACATCAATCTTTTAAGATTCTCCTCGTTGTAGAATCATGTCCTAGTGGTTGGAACTTGTCAAGTGGTCGTTGTTATGTATTCAAAAATAAGGAGACAGTGAACTGGTCTACTGCAAGGGTAACAAATAAATCATAATTATAATACTGCACGTTTGTAACGTCGCTTTTCATTGGATTAATTGTGACGTTTATATGGTTTTATATACACGGCTGTTGTCGATTCATGAAGAAATCTACTTTTTTCTCTAAAAAAATGATGTTTGCTGTATTTTAAATTCGTTATAAAGATTGTTGACAGGTTATAAGTCCGTATATAAACGGCTGTTTGCAATATATTTTTTTACAAACAGCCGTTTTTATATAGGGCCATATAACCTGTCAACAATCTTTATAACTAATAATATAGCAATGTTTATTACTTATGAACTACGATATCACGCAGATGTATTAGCTACTGTCTAGATTCTCAAATGATTAATAGCGTCTATACCATATATCAGCTTACGTCCATACTAATATATGTTTGTATTAATGGCGATGAACATGTATTTGTTTTTGCCAATACACTATTTGACTTTACTTTGACTTGATTAATGCATTTAGACAGTGCGTTTAAGTACTACCCGGACAGGCTGGTAGAATTCAAATAGATTATTAAAATATCGTTATATGATGAATGGCATCTTAATTTTATATCACGTCAGTACGTTACAATATGTTTTAAATTCCATTTAATATAAATGCCACATTGTCAATACCATTATCTCTCTTTCTGCATAATATCTTCAACCCTAATATGCCGCTCAAAAAGCTGAAATTTCCCGACAGCTTTCTATGTTTTATGTCAAGTTATAGTTTCCAAAATGTTACTCATTGGCAACTGGCTTGTACCATTTTTTGCTTTGTTGTTTTAACAATAAGTGCATTTATAATGATTTAGTATTTAGTATGGAAATCAAATAATATTTTTCATTTCCATATTACTTGCTACTTATTTATCTTTACATTCGGCGCGTCTATCATCAGGTGATAAGCATCTAACATGCTCTAAAAATCATTATTTAAGTGTTATATAAAACTCATGTTTACTCTTTCTAAATTTTCTTTTGAGGCAAATAATGGGCCTTTAAGGCCTGTAAACATATTAATGATAATATGAGAGGAGTCATTATCTTGATGCGTCAGAAACACTGAAACTTTAGAGAAGTCACATGTTTGATTTCATAGACAATGATTTTACATGCCATTCTATTGACATGGCTAAAAGAAAAATTCCTTGAATTCTAAGAAAAGGTAGGAAATATAAAATAATTTTAACTGAATAAAAATGATTTAAAAGTTGATAATAGAGGGCTCATAATGAACATTAATTCATCGCGATGATTTTATGTAAGATCAACCACACAAGATATCTTCACGGGGAGGAGCTGCGCAACCCAAATACTTAAAGTCTTGGCAAGAGTTAGAAAAGAATAAACATCAACAAAGTATGCTTTGTGGGTACAATATACTATTTTATTATATACTTATGAAGGAAGATTTAAAATTTGTGAACATACGTATTTTCATTTTCTGTATTTTCACTGAAAAATTTTTTTTTTTTTACTGAAGTGAAAACACATTTTCCACATTTTCACTGATGTCTTGCCTGACTGCTTTCTTCTAAATTCAGCCAACACCACAAATTAATGAGGAAATCTTTCAAATTGTTATGTCAAAAAAAGAAGCAAAATGTATAAAAAAGAAAATTCATGTTTTGTTTATAAATGTGTGATTTATTTTCTTGTCGGTATGAACAGATTTTCATCTTGTGGTATAAAATTATCATATTTAACTCATGATTATCGCAACTCATGAAGCATTTACTTTTATACCACTCGATAGAAAATAAATCCTGTATTTATAGGAAAAAATTGAATATCACTCATACATCCACTTTCTATAAATATATGCATTCAGAATATATAGCGGAAAGTGTTCAGGCAAACTACTAAAGATCATTTAGATCGGTAATAAAAAACCACCTCTATATTATAGCGAACTTTATATCAAAATTCTCAACAGCATTTTTAATTGTAAATGAACAATAACACTTCTGTTTATAACGACACTTCGATTTATTGCGAAATTCTGAAAGCATTTAGAAGAACCCCTCTATTTTTTGCGAAATTTATAGCAACATTTTAAAAAGGCATTTAGATCGTAATGACCAAGAACATACATTAAAGAAAATGTAAGAATAAAGCAAAAACAACTAAACGTATTATTTGTATAAGTGGCACAATAAAGTAGCCATTAGTTATTACAATCTTTTCACATTGATTTATGCCATTGCTACCCCCACCCCATGTATTTGGAACATGGACGTTTCTTATTCATTATTTATTGTGCTTACGATATAATTGAATATCTATTGATATTTGATAACAAAAATATTTTGTTTAACTTTTGTTTGATCAGTATTTCAAATTACCCTTCAAAATTTAATGTTACCATGACTTGTGCACATATCATGCTTCAAATAAATAAGGTAGAAATCCAAAGTTTACATATGACTGGAACAATATACATTGTTCGCTACACACTCTTCTCTTAACTACATCATTGACAGTTAAGAGTATGTTGACATGAACATTAATATCTGTAATGACGTCAAAAAGCAAGCATTTGTTTATAGTTTACGTGTGAAGTCCCTGTTATATCACATTCTATATGATTATAGGTTGTAACACTCTGGAAACAATATTGCTTTATATAACATGATACTAACCTTAAAATTTATTGATGACAATTTATTTAACTATTTATTTTCAAGAGTAAATGCGCCCAAGACGGTGGAACTCTTGCGCAAGCCGACAGCGAAGCTGTTAACAACTATCTTGACACATTGAGAGGTGAGGCAATAACTCAGAATTATTAAAAAAAATATGACTATATATCTGCAAAGCTCAAGTACGAACGATTTTATTTCAAAAGTTGTTGACAAAGGACTTCTAGCATGTAAGTAAATAAGAGTAGCTAAATATATATATATTACTTTACGATGATTTTATGATATGCTAGATACTGTGATAAACTATTTGAATGAATTGTTTTAAATACTATCTTTTCATATGTTTGGTTATTAATAAGCAATTCAATAAGTTTATATATTCCGTCACATTAGTTTCAACTACTACAAATGTATAGCAGCAGGTGTATTTCTTCCTTATAAACCCTTTTAAGGAAATGGTGACACAGCTTGGATTGGATTGAATGATCTTGAAACTGAAAATACATTCAAATGGGACGGATCGCAACAACCTGTCAGTTTTACAAATTGGAACACAAATGAACCAAATAATGGCGCAGGAACTGGAGAGGAAGATTGTGTTGAAATGTCAGCCACTAAGAAATGGAATGACTACTACTGTGCTAGTCTAAACTTCTATTTCTGTCAACGTTCTTCTACAAGTAAGTATTTTTTAAAATACATTTACAAAGAAATCATAAAGGCTATAGCTAGTGTAATTTGAATCAATCTCAAATGCTGAGGTAAGGACAAGTTATGAAGCGGTTGTATGTTTAATGTTGCATTAATTGGCACAAAAAAGATAAACTAACACACTCTACCGATGTAAAATAGAGAGAAATTTAGAATCCATATAGAACGCATAAAACGAGAAAATTGAAAATGTTGATTGAGCCTGTTCATGGACAGTAATAACATTTGCAAGTTTCGGTCCACACCCCCTGCATTTGGCAAATTAAATAAATAAATAAATATGTGTTCATATGACAGTTATCATGGAACCTTCAATGTTACACGTCAATACTATTCCATGAAAATAGGCGTATGATCCGCAATTAAAAGAATGCGTCTGCCTTATAAACATATTAACTATGCTAATGAATGACACAACTTTTGTATGACCTTTAAACATTGTTGTATGTTATTTTCAGTTGCGCCCTAATGAGATCATATGGATGAGAAAAAGGACAGTGATACACACTATCAAAGCCGGAAAAAACATGAATAGATATGATCAACATTGCAAAGCTACGTAATTATATTAGTCAAGCATATTACGTGTTTGTTTTGTCCATTTAATTTACCATATTAACTGAGTGTCGTACAGACGTTACCGATGATGAAATATGCTTTCCATGCTCTAGTTTATGTTCGCAGTTTTAGTTTAATTTAATTGCTCTATTGCAAACAAATGAAGAAAGATGAAATAAATATATAGACTTGTTTGTATTGGAACGATGAAATGAAAAGGATTAAAAATGAGCGAAACCATTAATGGACCAAAACCTGCAGGCAATTATAATGAACGGAGATTCGCAAAATTTCTCTTGATTTGATGACGAGACTTTTCAAACTTTAAAGTCATAAAACGACAGTGAGCAAAGCTCCAATAAATAAAGAATAACTTTCAAGAGTATATTGACGTGAAAGTCTAGCCGTCTTAGCTTAAAATTGTTACTGGTAGACTTACTTTTTCTGTTCAATGCAATACAACAACATGCAACATTCTATTTATCATGTGCTGACTAAAGGCTTAATAAAAGAAGAAGCTGTTTTTGACAGCAAATCAATACAAGAATTGAGATATGCAGTGTTAGGGTGCAAGCGGCATGAGTTGGGGGCCTAGCGGCATTGAGGTGGGCCTAGCCGGCGTGAAGTTAGCGACCCAGTGGCCTCGAAGTTGCGGCCACGGCGGCCCAAGAATGGACTAATAGGTTATACGTTATGTTAGCTGTTTATTGTATCTAGCATTACATAACTTAAATTTGTCAAGAAGGTGTAGCCAGTTCAAAAAATTTATTGCAGTAACTGCTACTAATAGTTTAGCTAGTTTAACAAAATATTTTTGATAAAACTGTCAATTGACACAGGGATTTTTAAATTTAGGCGAGGAGAATAAAATGAGTCAAACTTATTGTTGGGGCCTTACAAATGTCTTTAAAGTACAATAAGAGGCCAGTCTTAAGTTTTTCTAAACGTTTTACTGCATGGCATATCATATTTGTTCTAAATGTTTAACTTGCATGTACATGTATATAACCAAGTTTTGGGCCCCAACTTTACAAAATCGATAAAATCAAAAACTTTACAGAAATTGAATTTTACAGTTAATATATCTTTGAAATGACAAGCATATTTTTGAGGAGAAGACATTTTAAAGACTTTATTAAGAGCCGTATAAATTGTGTTTACAAAATTTCTACAACTTTAAAAGTTAAGATAACAACAGATGTAACTGTACGGCCATAGTACTGAACCATTCTCAAAATTCACCTCAATAGTTATATAACTTACATTTTTGTGACATTAGTACCCATTCGGGGAGAATCATCCGTCTTCGACGGCATCTTGTTTGGAAAATCTTACGATTCAGTAAATGCTTAGGTCTGTTATGTAGCTTTCATTTTTATACCCATATTCAACAATATGTGTTGAATATTTTTATTTTATAGTGACATATCATCGGATGAATAAGATAAATTATCAAAAAATCCAAACACAAGAAACCATATATTTAGGGTTTAGGAAATATGGAAACTATGCATTGTTAAATTGCACAATTTGTATAATGAGCACAGTTTTAGTCACTGGTACAATTAAAACATAAAGCAACTCAGGAAGCATGTTGTTTTGAGAGATATGAATGGGTATAAATTATTTTTGAATAAAAATGAAAATGTACCTTATTGCATATCATACTATACATACTTATTACAACATTTTACGGTGTAGAGGAGGACAATGTCGACCCCAACATACTCTATTCACGAGAACAATAAAGCTATTCTTGGGACAAATGCCCATTGATATTACATGTATATACAATAACATGTATTAATTCATAATTTATTTGACTTTTATTTTTGATGCTAATTATAAATACACGGTGATAATTCTGTAATTTAAAACTTCGTGCGATTATTTTACATTGTAATATATGCACGGAGTCGCAAAACCGGCACGGGTATGTAATAAATCTTAATTTACCACAAGTGACTTATAGATGTCCAGAATAGTATCAGAGTTCGACCAGATTTGTCAATCGCAATATATACAGTAATATGAAAGAAGTTTAATTTAATTTTGTCATCCGCCGAAAAAGTGACGCCTGAAATATATCGAGGGGATTGAACATGTACTTCACTTCAGTGTTGTTATATTTTTCGGGTTCTTCGGGATCATTGATGCCAGCACTATGTAGTGTTGAGAAGTGAGTACCCCTCAGCCGGTGCTAGGGGGCGTAAGGAATGTTGCACTTATTCATTTACCCTCATGTACAGACTCAATCAAACCGAGTCTTCAATTCTTATGTAATTTTGTTGTGATTAATGCTTCCGAGGGATCTCTTTGTTTCCAGATTTTTATGTACTATAGGCAGCACGAAATCATTAAAATCAAACGTTCAGTAGATTTTTAACTAAGTAAACGTTTCATGGCGAACAATTCATTGCAACCAATGCACATTTAAAATTGGGAAAAATTCTTTTCCAATAAATTCATACTACTAGTGGCTTGTTGAATCACCTGTTCTTAATTAGAATAAATTCTAGATGTTCTCCGGTGCTAGCGATCTGTCTTTTTATAAAAAGCGTTTTAAAGAAATGCAGCATATCCGGACAAAAAATTAGATTGCCAACTACAGTACAGATGTACTATATGATGGTTGAATTATATCTTTATTAAAAATGTGAGATTGAAACATAGTCATTTTAACAAATTGAACACAACACGCAAATTCTTATTGACAAAAATATTACAAAATATGATAAACAAGATCAACAAGGAAAGGCGGCGTTCAATGAACTCCTGTTTTCTAGGTATAGAAACTGTTTCAGTTATGCCTAGTCATTTATATCAATATTTCTGACAATGGAGAATACAGTGCAAAAAAGGTGTCTTACCTGAAAATTATCAGTTACATGCGTCAATTTTATGGTAGGTTTGGCGGTTAACGATGCAACGAGAGGTCTGTTGGTTTGCAAACCAGGAAGGTATTTGAATACAAAACAAATATTAGATTCATGACTATGAAATAGAGAGAAGTAAGAATCCCTAAAGAAAGCCCAACACGGCAAAATTGAAAATGTTGCAGTCTCGGTGTGATTGAGCCTGTTCATGGACGGTACTGTCAAGTGCAAACTACCGTCCACACCCCCTAGAACCGGCTTAAGCAGAATTCAACATTTAACATGAACTGGTAAAATTTAGAAGTTATCTATGAAATTTATGTAGTTACAACAATATTAAGGAAATAGCCTCAGTATAGTTGGATTTAAGATAGTTGCTTATAAATGACTCATGATTTTGTGTGTCAGTCAATTACAGTCATATAAAAGATTTACTTTAATTTACCATGTGATATATAGGTAGTGACATTTGTTGTATTTTCATTAAAACCTGATTAGAATAATTAAAGTTTAAATATTCGTCATTGACCTGTATCATTTTTCTTAACTCGTTACAAAATAGATTTGCAAGCTATCGTAATTACAGAAATACCTCAGAGGTACCTCAAGGCAATATTAATTTAATTTATGTTAAACACATACTTTATCATAATGTCTTTATCGTTATATAATTAATAATTGAAAACTGTGACATTAAAAAGGGATATTATGCTCCATTTTATCGATGCCAAGGTGAAATAGAGAAAATAAGAATCCCCAAAGAAAGCTCAACATGACAAAATTGAAAATGGTGCAAGCTCGGTTTGATTGAGCCTGTTCATCAACGGAACTGGAATGTGCAAGTTACCGCCCACGCCCCTAGCAAGTAATAATCAAAGCACTGAAAGCACTGAAGTATAAATTGCTTTATAATATAATCCATTTTTGTCATCAAGGCCATGTTGATTTTAACCTAATGACCTCAAAAACAATAGGAGTCATCTTCTGACTAAGGTCAATGTCCCTAACAAGTGACTCATGCCAAGGCTTATTTCTTCCAAAGTTATTAATGAGACAAGGAAGTGCTTCGTAAATACAAGGGCAAAAGAGAATATATACGGACTCACACATGATCCTGATACTGATGCATGGTTTGATACACGACCCCCTAATCTGAAGCGATTCATGTTTTATGTAATAATTGATTATTCCTTCCTGCAGTGTTTAAACCTCTAAATTTGATATTGTTTGCTGTAACATCTTCCATCGACTATACCCTATCGCTTTCCACTTTGACTACTTTACGTGTACTCTTTTTTGCACTTAAATTGTAATGATGTTCTCTAGATTCTTGGAATTCTTGGAAAAGTTCGAATCAAAGTATAAAAGTCGCAATACGTTTATTTACAGCTAGGTTATTTAATGCTTACAACAGCATTGCTGATGTATTGAATGTTTAAGATACTTTCAAAGTTTACAGTAATTCAAAACAAACTCTGAACTACATAGTATGGTTAATTTTTGTTAATATTTATTATGAAACAATGGATCAACACAGTTATGAAACTGTTTTATGTCTACTATACATGTATGTATTATTTGACAACACGATAATATATATAACTATAAATGTACGTTATCAAAATCAAATGTTTTTTTCTCAAACTAACTACTGACTAGCTAAAACTATTTAGCTTTTGCAGTGCCTTATAGGCATTTATATTAAAGTCTTTTATTTATTCAGTTAATGCGTTTTGTTCACTTCTTCCTTGGACGCAATTGTATAATTTGGCTACACTTGCACAGATAGGGACCTTCTTGTGTAATTCTCATGAGCTTAACTACAGTATTGTGGTTCAGTCTAGAGCGTCCTTTGGTTTGATATGATTATCAACACTAAATACTCACATAAGTGTCTTAAGAGACAACAAGAATTTGGCTCGCTAGACAGGGTATGTCAAGATAAAGTCCACAGCAATTCTTAAAAATATGCACTATTGATAATGATTTCATATCCAGATAGTTGTCCTATCAATAACACTGACACCTTACACTCTAAATTGTCGCTCTCTTCATTCAAATCCAATGTGCTATAGCCTCCATATTG